AGATTCTAAAGCACTTTCGTATGTAACTAGAATGATTCAGCAGAGAGGGAGATAAATGTTGGAAGAGAGCGTAAACTTTCAGGAATTAAGTCCTAACAGAGATAAGAAGAAGGGAATTGATGCACAAGGGGAGGGCCTAGACTTAGGAGCAGGGACACTTCTGTCACTGCAACAAGAGGGAAGATGGAGAACACAAGTACAGATAAAGGCAGATTTGTAGACTCGTATTAGGAAGATGAGAGCTCCAGTCTGATTCCTTAGAAATCACTATAATTCATTTCAGTTGTTTTTTGATATTTGTTGCACATATAATATGCTAATGTTACAATGAATAGGTTAAAATTGTTCATCAGAAAAACAATTAGAAATTTAATCCTGTTAAATTTTAAATTTATTATCAGTATAGCTAATGTTCTAAAACTAGTATTATTACCAAAGGTAAATAAAAGAGACTATTTAACTACAGAGTGATATAATTTAAAAACAAATTATTAAAAAGATCCATTATAAAATTCAGGGACTCAAAGGTTATTAGAAATTAATTTCTGATTAATCTTTATAAGCTAAGTTAACAATTGCTGGCAAGAAAAATGTTCTTCTTATTAAACCATTTTAAGCTTCTCCATCACTGCTAAATTGACTTGATAAATATGGAAGCATGAGTGTAGAGCGATGGTTGAGAATGAGTGACATATGCAACAAGTATATGGTAGAAAACAAACTTTGATGTTTTAAATATAAGTACACTTTTGCCCAGCAACTAACAATATGTTTTAACAAATACTAAAAAATCATTGATAAGTGTCAAAAGGCCTGCAATAACAGAAGTTTCCCCCCCACTGTTTTTGTGATATTTTATTGAGTACTTACTTTACACTATTTTATGTGTGTTTTCAGCAAAAACTTTGGAAAGGGAAGAGGAAGATTCGAATGTCTTTGGAGGGATTTTTTTCCCCCCTCACTAGTTGACCAAACAAGGAAAAGGAAAAAATTAGGAAAGATTACATTGTGAAGGAAAATTATTTTTTAAAATAAGCTAATCTTCACATGAAGGTAAAGAAATAATATGTAATCTTTATAGGGACTATTTTCTGTTACACTATATGTATAGCATGTATGTGTATACATATGTATGTTTACATTACACATATTTTATTACACATAAACATATGTATGTCTATACACACACATCCTATGTATCATACATAGAAAAAATATGGAGTCACCTTAGTTGCAGGGAAGCAAGAACTCTCTCACTGACTCCTCCAATCTACAGAGAGGTGACTCTTTTCTCCAGTCCGTATCCCTACCCTAATCACTATGGTCTGGCTTTCTCCTCTGGTGTCCTGCCAACACAACTGTCTTCACTGGCATAGCAAATGAATGGCCACCTAGGAAGAAAGTAAACTGTTCTGTTAACACCTGATGCTCAACACTGCTTTTCTCTCTCTCTGCCCCATGAGTTTCCCTGGCAATGGCTTCTGGGAAAAGGAAAAGAGAAATTAGCTCATCATTTCACTTCTCAGCATTAACGTGCAAGGAGACACAAACAATATCCTAAAACAATCTTTCTCCATGTGTTATATTTTGGCTGGCCCTTCTATACAGCATTGGACACAAACAGAATCAGATTAAAATATGGACAGCAAAATGTTCAGGACATTTCTTTCTCGGGAGTTTAATGTGGAGTCTTCTTTATTTAGCCCCCTAGTAGGTAAAAATGATTCTCCAAAAATCACTTAAATTATTCCCACTCCCAAATTGAGGTAGCTTTTATAAAAACCCCACTGGAAGTTGCAAAACTAAATAGAAAAGCTAAGATTTATAGTACTGATTAAAACTTTTGGACTAATCTGCTTCAACTACCACTTTTAGACTTTTAGCCTAGTTGTACCATCTTTGATTCACTTAGCTCAACGTTCAAAAGGACCAGCAGTGCAAAAGGGCTAACCTATTTCTTCTCTACTTTGTCTTGTTACATGCTTTCAGAACCGTTATACAAGCACAAGCTTCAATCACTTATATGCTTGAAGCGTTCTTAACTGCCCACACACAATAGCTGTGCTGGAGCACTGAAGAAAGATGTTTTGATCAATTCACTTATAACAAACAGAGTTAACAGTAATTAAATAAAATAATTGATCTAATTCATAGATTTATAATAGATTTACAAAAGCTAATTCATAGCTTTAACAATTTTTCCTAAGAAATTCAGCATCTGTAATTAAAATACCTGAGCAGGTTCTTCTATTTGTTGTGAAGTAAGTTTTTCTTGCAATGCATATAACTGACATGTGAGGTAGTAACATTCTTTTCTCAGCTGTAGGATGATGTCTTGGGCTTCTCTTACTTTGGATTTTTCATTTTCCAAAGCCAAAACTAACATTCTGTTGTTGTCTTGGTAGTTTTTTAGCAGTGCAGAAGTGTTGGCTAAAAGAGGATAAAAAATGTTTTATTAGTTATTAAATCTAAACTTTAAAAAGTGACGCAAAAGGACATGAAAATCTTACTGGTTATTTGACATGGTGCAGCCATAAAAGACTTTCGTTTGCCAATCTCTGCCAAGCTTTTATTTCTTTTCTCTTTCATTCGTTTCTTTATATCTTCAAGACTATCTTGAAAGGACTTTTTGAGGATCCTTTCCTTGGCCATCTTCTGCCTAGGAATTTAAAACAATAAANACTTCTGGCAGTAATTCCTACTAGAGGACAATTATACTCCCCCAGGGGATATTTGGCAATGTCTGGAGACATTTTTGGTTCTCATAACTGGGGGAGAGGAGTGCTACTAGCATTTAGTTGGGTTGAGGCCAAGGATGCTGCTAAATATCCCACAATGCTTAGGGCAGCTCTCTACAACAAAGAATGATCTGGCCCAAATGTCAAAGTGTTAAGACTGAGAAAGCCTAAGTAGAGTGATGGCAATGTTCTATATCCTAATTGAGGTTTTGGTTCCACAGGTGTATATATTAGTCAAACTCATTGAACTGTGTAATAAACATCTGTGCATTTTACTGTATATAATTATATCTCAATAATTCATAAGCAAACGAAGTACACTTGCTCCAAGAGAAGGGCATGAGTGTTTATGGGATCTGATGTATTTAAGAATAAACTGGTCTAGCAAGATAGTGTGACAGTGGTTAAATACGATGTTTTATTATATTTCTTTTCTAAACCAGACTATTTGTAGTACTAGCAAAATGCCATCATTTGAATAACCAATCCTTCTTAGATAAAAATGTGATACAAATAACTGAAGGGGATAATTTTAAAATTTTAGAAAAGCTTCTTATTTTTGGATATCAAAAAAGTAACTAAATATAAGAAAGCTTTGGCTTGGCTATATATAACAGAATTTCAACATATCAAATATTCTTAAATACGTTATCAGTAGAGAGAACATCAGATTCCAAATATAAGAGTCAATATGATGCAAATATTCTTTTATAAATGGATCACTGAATTAAAATCTTTCTTGGTATTAATAATCAAAATAATAAATTTGATACTAACGGTGACTCTTTCACAAATAAATCCCCAGAGTTGTTGTCACTATTGGCATCCATTCCAGAGGGACATACTTCATGGTTCTGTTAATGTATTAAAACAAAGAAAACACTGGTAAAACTGAAATATTCATAACAAAGCATTCATTTATTCAATAATAAACACTTATTGACACATTACCATGGTGCCAGGAACTCTTCTAGGAACTGGGTCTATAGTAGCTAAAAAAGAGATTAAGTCCTGCCCTCTGAAAGCTTACATTCTAGTACAGGGAGAGAAACTTTAAAAAAGGAAAAGAGATCTATATATCCATATATCTATGTATCTATATAGCTATACAATTTCAGTAGTGTTAAGTGCTATGAAGGAAATACTCAGGGTGAAGTGACAGAGAGTAACTGAGGTGGAGGGCTCTTTTAGATAGGACGACTTTCATCTGAAATCTGAACAATGCAAAGGAGCCAGCCATTGAAAGAGCGGAGGGAAGAGAAAGCTGTGAAAAAAGCAAATACAGAAGTCAAGATGTAGGGAAAACCTTGCTGTGTTTAGAAAAGAAAGGCCATTGAGGCTGGAACATAGTCACTGAAAAGAACAGTTAGGAGATGTGCATGCAGAGACCAGACAATGTAGGGCCTTGAAAGCCATGAGTTTGGATTTTAGTCTAAGTGTGATGGGAAGTCACTTAAATATTAAGCAGGGAATAAAATGGTCTAACTTTTAAAAAGATCAATCTGACCACTGTGTGAAACCTGAATTGAAAGGAGCCAAGGGCAGGAGTTAGGAAGTCATAGTAAATCAATCACAACATGATGTTAGGACTGGAATCCTGTGGCTACGGAGGTGAAGCTGAGTAGATCTTGAGATAACAGTGTGCTCAGGTTGAATAGGGGTGGAGGTGGGGACAAAGAGGGAGAGGGTAGCCTCTTACGGTTTTGACTTTAGCAAATGGGTAGGCTGTTTTATTGAGATGCGTAAGACTAACAGAGGAAGGTAAAAGTACACAATATTTTTGGGAGGGGGAAAATAAAGAGTTATGTTTTGTACAAAATATGAAATCCTTTATTAATATTTAAGTGGATATATCAAGCAATAGC